AGCAGGAATTTGAATGACAGGTTCTAAAATAACTGAGAATAAAAGTACCCTAAACAGAATGGGTCAGGGGAAAAAAAAAGGAAATGGAGACTTCACTGTCAGAATAATCACCTTTGAGTTTGCACACTGTAGACTAAAATCAGCTCTTCCTTCCTCACCTTCATTCTTGGTTTGAACATCCTTTTGGAGCTTGAGAGGGGAGAGAAGTAAGTTTTGGCCACATTGGAGTACGTTTTGCTCTTTTGTCAGTAGAAAAAAAAACAACTAGTGGTTTTGGAAAACATGTACTACTAAACTACAATGCTGACAGTTTCAGGAGTCTTATTTCAGCAGGCTGAGGATTGTAATTTAACATCCAAAACAGCTGCTGTTCAGCATCACAAACCACCCCCTTTCTCTTCCATCTAAGAAGCTGAAGAGCACCAAGCTCTGATCCTGGAGAGACTGAAGCTATTCTGCAGGACTGGAAGACATTTGATGAGCTGTAGATAATCACCAGACGCCTTCTCATTATCATTCACTTTAGAAGCTTCCATACACACATAGTTAACTGGAGCAGAAAACTCTTGCTAAGTGTACTTGGCCATTTCATTACCTGAGCCAGAGTTTCTCAACTTTTGCAGTGTTCCCAGGACCTTCTGGACATCCTTTATGCTTGTGTCCTTTCGGCTGTACAAGACTAACCTCTTGACATCTGAGAACAGGCGGGAAACACTGGGGAAGGAGATAAGGAAAACCAAAACCAACCAGCAGTTGTCAGCCCTGTGAGGCAGCATCCATTGATGCAGTTTTATGTCTTGATTCTAAACTTCAGTTCCTTCCAATTATACTGCTGCTTTACCCAGTACAGTGAGCCCTTTGTTCAGTGACCACCCTTAGGTTAATCTGAGGAGACCTAATAAGAGATAGCTTTTAATGCAAGGTCAAACAAGGCTGCACTGGTAATGTCCAAGTATTTGAAAACAGTTATTTCAAACTGGGATGGAGAGTGCCTCCTGCTGCTTAAAAACAGCCTCCTTTTAGAAGCTCAACAATTTAAATATGCCCTTACTTCTTTCAAATGCTTTTCCAGGTTGCAGGTACCTTTTATTCTGATTTTGCTGAGACCAATTGTTGTCAGACCCTCCTATGAAGGCAGCAAATATAGTAAGGCAGGGTACAAGGATATCAGCCATAAATGGAGCTCCCTGCAACTTATCAACCAGTGGTCAATCGCAAGAATGTCATGGAGAATCCCCAGGCCCAGCTCTTAGCATCTCACTCTATATACTGCTCATCTCAAAAGTTCATTGGTCAGGAAATAGGACTTGAGTCTCCCTGTGGAACAGAGCTCAAGCCTCTCCTTTCTAAGAGCCAAATTCTAAGTACTCAGAAAGAGAACATCCCTTACCCAGGCAAAGCTCTTTACTCACTGACAGCTTTGTCTGCTTGAACTCACAGTTGCTCCATTTGGTTTGCAGTCATTTGCTCAACAACAAAACATTCTGCTGCTGACCACACCTACTGGTTCTCTACTAAACTCTCTGAATTTGGTAGCTAGAGAACTTGGGGCTTGAGTGGCAATGGAAATAGCAAAGCCCTCAATATTGGGTTTAATGATTAACTGATGACTTCCAGATATCCCTTTTCCATATGTTCCCCCTCCCCCCCAGAACAGTGATGAAGATGAAGACAGACTCACATAGAGGCATGTCCAATGACACCAGGGGATTCCCCAAGAGTTGGGTAGCGGAAGCAAGGGTTGTTGACATTGCAAATAATGCCCTGTATCCAAGGCAAGGATCCCGCTGAAGGCATGGCTTTGTTTGGGAAGTGACCTAGAACAGAAACACAAAAGTTAGGAGACAGAGGCACAAAACAGAAGTCAGGTGTGCTGTTGCATAGCAAGAGAGGGTAACACCAATTCCATATCAGTTTCTGCCTCAAATGGCTTACAAAGGAGCAGAACAGCCAAGACCAAGAATGCTATTCTTATGCTAACTTCTCCACACCACTCTGGCCTCCTCCACTTAAAGCCCACAACTTGTTAAGCCTGTAGGAGTGGCTCTGCTACTCTCATCTTGTCCCATTGTTCTGGCCATGCCCAAAGGGATACAGTACTTCTTGCTGGGGAATGTCCACGAACACAGAACACGAAAGCCTGGCAGTAGAGTGTGCAGGTATACACACGCATACACACACACACACACACACACGTGCATTTTCTGGCCAGCCATGCTATTCTGGATCTACACTGTTAACCAATAGAAGGATTTGACTTGAGGTCACAGTCTAGGCTGGGGTCAGGGTTCTGAACACACATTATATTCCCATTTGGTCCTTTAAACTTAGTCATATGCAGTGTAAACACAAGGTAAGGATGCAGTGTTGACATTGTTCTACCTGAGAAAGGTATATCATTGCTCTCCCACAATGGCTTGGCTTCCAGACAATATTAGTGCTTTAAAGAGTACCCAACATATTTAAGCACCCAGCCCCTACTGGCTTTTGATTCCTTTTCACAGAATCCAACCCTTGCTGTTAAAGGTCTACTTCAGTCTCACGTCAGCTTTCACATTCTGCCTTCTAGAGCCTGCATAAATGTTAAAGCAGTAGCAAACAACTCATGACAGTTTGTTACAAGAGGTCTCTGCAGCCTGGCCAAATAGCGGCATTTTGGGGTCCCAATTCTAATATACCCAGCAGAGACTCTGGACTCAATCAGATTCTTTTGGGTTGGCAGTGAGAAGTTGGCTTTTGGTTATGAATTCACAAACACTAGTTGAACAAATAGTAACTTTACTTATGCAATAATCAAGTTAAGCAATAGTAACAACACTACTATGTAACATGACCAATGTTGTTTGCTCGGGGGATAATTGCTGTGCCCGGCCGACACGGTCAATTACCGGGGTGGGGGTGGGGGGGCACACCATCTAGTGTGACCCACTTGATACGGGGGTCATTGGAACCGGGGATTGGCACCCTCCGGGGTGTCCCAGTCACCGAACCCTTCTGCCTGGCCTCCACCAGGAACCGAGAATGCTCACGGGTGTGGCCCCGGCCGCCTCCTGCCTTCCTACTTCCAGGTTGCTTGTACCAATGGCGACCTGTGATGTCATTACCTTGCAACCACCATAGGGTGAGCACGTGCACATACTTGTTTATACACTCTGATTTGTCCTGTAATCCTTTACCCTCTGGTTTATTCTGTAATCTTTTTTTTTTTTTTCCCTTCGGAAGCTTCTGTGTATAATTGTAAATAGATTATTGTGTCGTTATTGCATTACATTGTTCATGTTGTTACTGTTGTTATATAGTAGCGTTGTTACTATTACTTAACTTGATTGTTGCATAAGTAAAGTTACTATTTGTTCAACTAGTGTTTGTGAATTCATAATCAAAAGCCAACTTCTCACTGCCAACCCAAAAGAATCTGATTGATTGAGTCCAGAGTCTCTGCTGGGTATATTAGAATTGGGACCCCAAAATGCTGCTATTTGGCCGGGCCACAGAGACCGCTTGTAACACACAGGTCTATACCAGCACTTCAGTAAAACTGAGCCCCTTGTCCTCCAACAATGGGGGGAGAAAGGCTTCCATCATATAATCCTATAACTTAGGCTGCCACCCTACTTTCCACACATGAAGTCGCTTTCTCACCTTCAATGCTAGGAAACAATATTATGCAAGTGATATTGAAGAAAGGATATAAAACAACTACTGAAGGCCTTGATTCTACGACACATTCTACTCTCCACTTTGTCTATAGGGCAAAGAGCCCCAGGAGAGCAGGTTGATCTTTAAGGACCACCTCCTCAGAACATAAAAACAGCCCATTCAAATGTGCAGAAAGAACAAGCATGGCAGAAGACCAGGATAGAGGAACATAGAGCTCTTGACTGAGCTCAAAAAGGAAGCACGCTTGGAAGGAATACAGAGACATTGCTCACACATGTAGGAATGGAGTTAGGAAAGCCAAAGTTCAGTTGGAGTTGAAACTAGCAAGGAAAGTGAAGGGCAACAAGAAAGGATTCTACAGTGACATAAGCAGAAAAAGGAAAGCTAAGGAGAGTGTGGGCCCATTGTTCAGTGGGGCAGGGGACCCAGTGACAAGGGGCATGGAAAAGACTGAGGCACTCAATGCCTTCCTTGCCTCAGTTTACACTGGGAAGGCCAAGGGCAAACCTTACCAGGTCCCTGAGCCTCCTAGCAGAGTCTTTGGGAGTGAAGCAGTACCCACAATAGAAGACCACAGTCAGGAAACACTTACCCCCCTTGGACATGCACAGGTCTATGGGACCTGATGGGACGCACCCAAGGGTGCTGAGGGAGCTGGCCAATGTCATCGCGAGGCTGCTCCCTATCATCTTTGAAAGGTCATGGCAATCATGGGAGGTTCCTGATGACTGGAAAAAGGCAGACATCACATCCACTTTCAAGAAGAGCAAGGAGGAGGATCCAGGGAACTACAGGCTGGTCAGCCTCACCTCAGTCTCCAGGAAAGTGATGGAGCAAATTGTCTTGGAAGCTATTTTTAAACACATGAAGGACAAGAAGGTGATTGGGAGCAGCCAGCACAGGTTTACCAAGGGTAAGTCATGCCTGACCAACCTCATCATTACTTTCTGTGATGAGGTGACTGGCTCTGTGGACCAGGGGAGGGCAGCGGATGTTGGATACCTTGACTTTTAGCAAGGCCTTTGACACAGTCCCCCATAGTCTCCTTATTGCCAAATTGGTGAGATATGGGCTAGATAAGTGGATGATAAGGTGGGTGGACAATTGGCAGGACTACCGGGCTCAGAGTTGTGACCAGTGGTGCAAAGTGCAGCTGGGGGCCAATAACTGGTGGCATCCCTCAGGGATCAGTACCGGGCCCCCAATACTGTGTAATATCTTCATTAACAGCCTGGATGATCAGGCATAGTGCACTCTCAGCAAGTTTGTGGATGACCCCAAATTGGGGGGGAGAGCGGTCAATATGCTGGAGGCCAGGGCTGCTGTTCAGAGGGACCTGAACAGGCTGGCGAAGCGGGCAGAGAGGAACTGCATGAAGTTCAACAAAAGCAAATGCCAAGTCTTGCAGCTGGGATGGAATAAGCCCATGCAACAAGACTGACTGGGGGCCTGACTGGCTAGGAAGCAGCTCTGCAGAAAAGGACCTGGGGGTCCTGGTGGACGCCAAGTTGAATGCAAGTCAGCAGTGGGCCCTTGCAGCAAAACAGGCCTGCCGCATCCTGGGCTGTATTAGTAAGAATGTAGTCAGCAGGTCTGGGGAAGTGATCCTTCCCCTCTATTTGGCACTTGTGAGACCACATTTAGAGTGCTGTGTCCAGTTTTGGGCTTCCCAGTACAAGAAGGCTTTTGACATACTGGAGCGAGTCCATCGGAGGGCGGCCAAGATGGTCGGGGGCTGGAGCACATGACATATGAGGAGAGGCTGAAAGAACTGGGCCTGTTCAGCCAGGAGAAGAGAAAGCTGAGAGGAGACCTTATTCCTGTCTACAACTACCAGATGGGAGGATGCAAAAGAGCCAGAGCCAGACTCTTCTCAGAGGTGCACGGTGGTAGGATGAGAGGCAGCAGACACCCCCCACACGGCTTCCTTACCCCAAGCCCACTTTCCTTACATTCTCCCCCGCTTCTCTCACCCTGCTTCCTACCTCCCTCCCCACAATTCCTTCATTCTTCTCCCCCTCTTCCTTTTTCTCCCTCATTTCCTTCCAGCCAATCCCCCCTTTCCCTTCCTCACCCCCTGCTGCCTTCTTCTCCCTCACTACCTTCCTTTCTACGCTGTCAATTACTTTCTACCCCACCTTCCTCGCTCTCCTCCCTTCCTTCCTCCGTCTCCCCACTCCTTCCTCCTCTTCTCTTCCTTCCTTCCTTTCTCTCTCCTTCCTCTCTTCCTTCATCTCCCCCCTCTCTTCCTTCCTCTCCCCCTCCCTTCCTCACTCTCTCCCTCCCTTTTCCCTTCCTCTCCCCACTCCCTTCATTCCTTCTTTTGTCTCCCCCCCCCCGCCTCCCCTCCCC